ATATAGAGGCCTACTTACCCATAAAGTCTCTTGCAGAACTCGAGAGCTTTGAGAAGGGCCAAGGGGCTGAAGACCTTTTGGACGTACGCCGAGACATTGTTGGGTGTGGGACTTACGGCGTTGTGCGGAAGCTGAGACATCGAAAAGGTGGCTTTGCAGTGGCTGTCAAGAGCATTCAGAAAGAAACCGTAGTTCGGGCCGGCATGGTGAACCAAGTGGAATTTGAGCTTTACGTGCAAAGGGATCTGCTACGGCACCAGAATGTGCTGCGCTGTTTCTCCTGTGTCGAAGATGCTCAGTATCTCCACATGGTTCTGGGTTATTGCGATCAAGGGGACCTCTATCGACGAATTCGGGAGCAGCCAAACAGGCGTTTTTCAGAGCTTGAGGCGTTCTGTTTTTTCGCTCAACTAGTCAACGGCCTACACTGTGTTCACTCTAGCGGGATAATTCACAGAGACTTGAAACTGGAAAATCTCCTACTTACGAAGGGAAATATACTAAAAATTGCAGACTTCGGCTGGTGTGGTTCCATTGTCGGTCACAATCGAAGCTATAGCTTCTGCGGAACACTCGACTACCTAGCTCCTGAAATGGTTAAAGGCCAAGGACATGACTGGCGTGTCGACTTGTGGAGCCTAGGTAGGTTGCGAGCAGATTAACTCGGCACCAAGATCTGAAATCAGTTGGTTTCTTGCCACTGGCGCTCAGTCTTTTATGAACGTAGAGCAGGTTTCGATATACTTGCTGTCTTTATTCTGGTTCGTTTGTTGCTTCTCGATGATATTAATAGCTCAATGGCGATGAGAACGCCTATACGGAGCAGCAAGCTTCTGTTGTCCTGTTACCACAGGGGTTCTCTTGTATGAGCTTTTAGACGGAAGGCCTCCTTTTCAGTCGACAAGGCACTTTGAGCTTGTCCAGCGGATTGTGACAGTTGACATTAGAATGCCCAACGTAAGTTTTTAATAACTTGCAGCCCTTGACGCTAGCACCTACAACAACTTTTCCATGGGCAACACATGTGATTATTTTGTCTTCAGCATGTGAAAAAGGACGCCGCCGATTTGATTGAGAAGCTGCTGAAGTATAACCCAAGCGACAGGTTATCACTAGTTGGTACGAACAAGCACCCTGATCGCAGCGCAGTGGCTTCTCCTGAAGTGTCAGCCCCTAAGTGCAGCCTCTTTGTGCATGTGTTGCACACAGGGGACATTGGGATCCCGATGTGCTGTCATTGCGATCGATGCAGGCGTGGCCCAACACCCCTGGGTTTTCCGAATGTGGAAAGAACTGCAGATACAAATTCTACAACAAAACCCTTTTATAGATTTGGAAGCATTGGTGCCTGCGGTGCCCACCGTCTTCACTGAAGTTGACCCGGGGTCAAGAGCATGCCCTGTCCTACCAAATATCTCTACACCAACAGACAAGAACAAAGAGGAGGAAGTGGGTAACTGCAGCAGAGTTCCAGTTAGCAAGGGATCTGGAGAGTCTATAAGGAACGGAACATCGCGTTTGACTGCGAGATCTCCAGCCATCCACACCCGCCAATACCAAGCTGGTGAGCAGACTTCAAGCTTCCTTTCAACGAGCAGCCGAAAACATTTTAACAAGTTAAGCCTCGATCGTCTTTCGCGAGGCAGCTGCAATGGTGGAAGGGCCAATCCAGACCACTCAGCAGAAAGAACGACAAAGAAGGGACCCACCACCCACAGGAATTCATGCGCTTCTTCCCAAGCTCAGCCACGCCGTCCGACTTTTCCGAAAGCTACACCGTCCCCAACGCACATCCGCTCAGCGAGAAGTATAAGCAAAGGCCCTGGGAATACTGCTATAGACCACGCATTGATGCCGGAGTGCCCGGGTGCAGCGGATACTTCGTCGCCTCATATTGCTCAAAAGAAAAATATGCTGAAGGCGCGGCACCCACTGTCAACTCAAAAAAGCAAAAGCAGAAGAGCACCTTTACTTGATCAATCGTTTGATTTGCCAAGTGCCACCAGGACAACAGAAACCTCCGAGACCAGTCCTCTCCCCTCATCAATTGCATCCACCGCGTGTTCACCCAAAAGTGAACCTAGTGGGAAGCCGCACCAGCGGCTGGCTGGGCTCAACGACGCTAAATCTGTCTTCGATGGCCATCCACAAAATCAGCAGGGCCTCCCTGCGGACTGGCGTGCCAAACCAGTTTCTAATAGAAAATCGGAGCTTCAAATCGGAGACGGAGTCAAAGCGAATACGCTAGCCTCACGTCATGGTGTAACTTTTTGTCAAAATTCGCATCCACAAGACGCAACATTTAAGTGCACCACCCTGAAGCCCGCAGTCGAAGGCTTTCTGGCAGACAATGACGCAACGTCACTACCGAGTCTCAAAAAGGTGCGAAGCGTCTCAACGAATCCACACACAGTACATTTTGGTGCCACACTACGGATGAGATCAAACCCAAATAAAGCTCACGTCGTGAGTAGAGCATCAAAATCCGAAAGTTTGTCGGATTGCTGCCTACGAATAGAAAGAGACGAACTTGTAAGAATGCAGCCATCCAACAGTCAAAACGTGTCTGCATCACCCAACCCATACATTGACGGAAGCGTTCATCCACAAGGGAGGAATCAAGGTGCTACCTCAAAGTTACTTAATGCTAGTGACGGTTCCACAATTCCAGGAAGAACTGGTTTCAGCGTGGATCATCCTTTGCCGATGGCTTGTATCGAGAGCCGACAGAAGCCGTCGCACTGGCCAGAGACACCTCAAGCTCAGCTTTTCCTGCAGAACTCCTGCCGGTGGTACTCTCAGCAAGCTGCCCAGCCAGTAAGCACGGCTCGCTTGCAGCAGTTCCAGGGCTTTGTAGGAAAATGCCAATCAGACTCACGGTGGTGTCGGCAGGTCCCAGAAGGTCAATTAGCTGCCGTTGAAGCGACACAAACTGTTGAAGCCCGCCAGCCTCGACCTCACGTAACCTTCCAAACGGCACAGAAGCAGCAACTAATCAATTTTGTAAGCGATCCTTCAGCGGTGCACTATCTGTACCGCAACCAGCCCGTAATGAAACATCCTAAATCTCATGTATCCCCGTTGCAGTCTGAAGGGTCGCCAACGTGTCAAGGCTTCATCCGATTTCAGCAGCCACCTACACGAACAGCAGCTCCCGATAGCCTTCAATTTGCCAACAGCATAATGGAACCCTCACAAACACGCGGCTTGCCGATAGTTGTTTCTGGGCCAGAACCCAGGAGCCCAAAATTTGTGAGTAATCCAAGTGCTCTGTTTAGTTGACAAGAACTGGACGGCAGCACCTGTGGAGTCTTTAATCCGCTGCGTTCTCAGTGGCTAAATATTTTGTTTTTGAGGTGTGTGCCTTTTTTTCCATGTAAGTCTAGGATCACAGTCTGTTAGACGTAAGCGTGAACAGGGGCTCTTCTCATATACCAACGTATCCGATAGAGCCACACCCATACATGCTGGAAAGAGACTGTGATGCTATCACACTGCATATTAAGCTATTTTTGTTTCTTGATGCTTGGACCTAAGTTATCCTACTTAAATTTGGATTGATACGGATTCAAAACCATGTAGCGGGCCAACGCGAACGCATTATCTGTCAAAGTTGATAGGAAACTTACCACTAAGAAAGCAAAAATACTAAGCAAATGAGCCGCAGAGTAAGTGAATCCTTTTAGGCGCCGCCAAGCTGCAACTTCTCGCAAAGCAACGTTGTGCGCGTCGCTGTAAACTATCTGAAGCCTCAAACCTTTGAGTGCGCTGCACGCTAGATAGAGCCATACTTTTGAGGATGAGCCTGTTCATTGCACCAGGGCGCTCATGCAAAATACTGTGTGGTATGCCCCCTGTTCCAGCGAGGCGCACCGTTTCTCTCGGAAAAACTCCATTCAGGAAGTCAGGCGAGAATCTAAATTGTCCGCGTAGGAGACTAGCTAGAGAATCGATCTATTACTTCCTCGCAAATCCAGAAAAGTACCTCTCCTCTAGCTAGGAAACAGCGTTTCACCTTACTCTAACGAGACACGGAAGTGGTGTACGGGCTGTCTTGAAGTTTTCCATCAACCAGTTGGCATCATACACTAATTTCTATTGTTTTTCATTGATCTTACCCGAAAAGAAAGCGGGCCCTGATGCTGAGAGTTTGCGATGAGCTGGACGAAAAGATGCGCAACGTGCTTAGCGTGGACAGCCTACCTTATGTCTACGATACGTATTCGCCGCGATGAACTAGTTGGAGTTTGTCACTCTTACTATATTGTAGCCAAACATAAATGCCTTTGTAACTGTTGGGATAAGTGCTTTTGTAGTGGTGGCGCAGGCCCCAATAAGCCTAGGGGCCCCTAGGCGTCAAGCAAGCGTACCGCAGCTATGAGCTCACTATACTCTGAGGGCCAATAAGAATCCCTCATTCCTTTTAGGTGTATACTTCCGACTATTTTTAATGGCGGAACAAAGAGTTCTCTTCGAAAGTCGCGCCAGGCCTTGCCACACAAGTGGATCCCAGCCTCCCTGAAACTGCTTCGATATCCAGTAAATGCTGAATCGCATGGTCTTCTGGTTGTCCAAATACTTATGAGGTATGAAGCTGTACTAATATGGAGCTGTGTTGGGGGGTGACGCAGCTGTTGCGTATCCAGCTCTACGCTCTGCTCTGACGAACAATGAATGCAAGATGTGTCGAGTCGCTTGCACATTACACATCATCGCCAGCATGCATTGGCGCATGTAAAGGAGGAAAAGTAGGTGAAATTATTACCTTGAATCGTCTTCAGAGCTTCCCTTCGTACCTCTGGAGCCTTAGAAGATATTTCCCTTGGCGCCAACATGTTGCTGCACACTTTATGGGCGTGCTGCCTCATTTTTGGATACCCACTATATCACGGAATCGTGTTGTCCAGTCTAATGGGACTTTAGGCCCGGCAAATTTCAGGAACTTCTCATCCAGGAAACAGTGCGACTCGGCTGCCCCGCAGTACAATGCAACAAAGACGATGCCACGGCTCACGCTTGTCGGCCGAGAAAACGTGGGGAAAAGCAGCCTCTACAACTGCCTTGTGACATCAGGTGCTCCGACGTCGAAGTGCATAGCAGGAAATCAGCTCGCGCTTGTTGGCCCAGACCCCGGGACTACTCGAGATCGCAGAGAATATTTGTGGTCTTGCGGTTCGCTTACTTTCCTTCTCACGGATACACCCAGCATTTTGGCAGATGTTTGTGGTGCAACAGACACGCCGAAGCGGCAGATAAACCACCAGGTGAAGCAGCAGCCCAAATGGCACTGGCTTCCCAGTTTCTCTCCTGCACAGGCAGGTTATTTTTAGTCTTTCATGCGTATCTATTCTTCATGCAGGTTGCTGCAGCACTTGAGGCGTCTGACGTGGCTTTGTTCATTGTTGATGCAAAGGAAGGCGTCACTTCTGATGACGAGTTCATTGCGAAACACCTGAGGATGCTTACGAAGAATCAGCGGGCGGCTAACGGCCGAACTTTGAACCTGGGCCTACATCGCCAGGAAGAAGATTCGGCGAGTACCATCGAACATTCACCAGTAATCCTCGTACTTAACAAGGCGGAAGGATCGAGGGCAGCTAACTGCATAGGTGACGCTTATGAGCTGCACTTGGGGCACCCCGTGGCAGTATCAACGAAAACAAACCAGGCAAGCACGTAGCGACGCTTAGGCCCTACAGAAACTCCAAATAGAGTGATGGCACAAAACTGCAGACTTCTGCGGTGGAGAGTTCTACTGGTAGGGAATCTGGTATCATGCTTCTATGCAACGGCGTCACAGGGTTTTGAGTCGTTGTTAGAGCGGATCAAAGCGCTAGCTCAGGGGCAGCGCCAGCATGAGTTGATACCATCAATTCCACCAGAGCAACAGGTGATCCAGCACGCCTTCATCCCCATCTCACGCATTTCCTTTACTGCCCCCCTTTTGTGAGGAAGGCGCTTTAGAGAAGCACCTGCAGTGTTTTGGGCACTCAATCCGCCACACTGTCTCTGACCTTGCTTTTCCAGAATGTGAAGGAAGCTGCCGCAACCGAAGCCTGGCTCGAGGGGTTATCCCGACGATATGGCCGGGGTGCGCAACCGGTATTGGCGCACAAGCAGTCTCTTGGTGGCTACCTGCATTTACCGTGGTCTTTGAAAAAATCTTCACCAGATGATGCAGAATTCGAGGCTCCTGAGCAGTGCGAACAGGACAACTGCCTTGATCATGACACAGTTATGGTGAGTAGGAACGGAGGGAACAGAATTTACATTCAGTGAGTATGAACTGGTGCATATGCTCTGAGTTTGCAGCCGTTGCAACTGCAACTGAGAAGCATTAAAAGGCTGGTCCATACTAGGCTTTTAGCTGTATTTGTTGCCACTGCTTAAGTGTAGAATGCGCGTTTGTACAATTTACTGCCGTTGCAGTTAACTATTCCTGAAAGGTCGCCTTTTTATGCACACAGGAATAGCCGCACGAAATTCAGGGCGCGCTACCCTGAAGCGCTGAATCGAGGATTTCCAGTTGTTGTCCTTGGTCATGTGCAGCAAGGACACATGGTAGAAGCGAGTAACGACGAGTGTAGCAAGGAACCCTGGTCCCGCGAAACTGAAGAACCGGAAGCTCCCAACATATTGCCTGCCTCGTCTGTCCGGCCATCGGCAAACCTCGATGTGGAAACCGAGAAGAGTGAAGAACCAATTCGACTGACGTTCATAGGTCGGCCAAATGCGGGCAAGTCAAGCCTTATTAATTCCATCCTAAAGGAGGACCGTTTGATGACAAGCGCAAAACCTGGCACCACGACGGACTCAGTATGCATCAATTTTTGTTTCAAAAAGCAGCAGATGACTTTGATCGATACGGCGGGAGTCAGTAGGGGATGGAAGATGAGAGGAGATGACATGCTTCAACAAGCATCATTACAGACTATGCGGAATATCCGTGCAGCCGATGTGTGCATCCTGTGCCTCGATGCTGCTCATATAGAAGAAACAGGGCATATTGGTTCGCATGACCTGTCTCTAGCGAACTTGGCAAGTGATAAAGAGGGGAGGAGCTTGGTGGTCTGCGTAACAAAGTGGGACCTAGTGGACATGAACAGACGAAGCCAAATGCGAACATTGGTGCTGGAGCGACTTCAGACTGGTCTTGGGCATTTAAAGTCGTGCCCGGTGGTGTTCACGTCTGCTGCACATGCAGAGAACTTGAATACATTGCTGAACAAGGCATGTGCTGTCTACAAACGGTGGTGCGGCCGCGTCCCCACAGGGACCATAAATGCCTGGCTTCAGCAGTACATGTCCCGGTGGCCTCCTCCGTGGAGATTGGGGTCTCAGTGTCAGGTGAAGTACATTACTCAGGCGCAGACGAAACCGCCAACGTTTGTGGCGTGGTCAAACGTTTACGCTCACTTCCCAACGCATTACAAAAGACAGCTCGTCAATGCAATAAGGGAAGAATTCGACATGAAAGGAATCCCCGTACGCCTCGTGCTTCGCACCACAGCTATGCCGAAGCCAGGAGCAAGGCTTACAAAGGCGGAGGCGCTGAAGTGGAAAAGATTGGGACCCCACCAAGTAAGCCCGAAATGAACACATGTGCAGGCTGTGCAGTAAGTTGGATCCACACAGAAAGAAATTTGCCAAGGCTTAGACGCACGTGGTGCTGCATTAGCTCGACGCTGCCTGCCGCACAATAATCCCCGGTAACGCCAATTGTGCTTGCCCTGCAGCACTCGGCGGCAACGAAACTGTCTCGAAAGTACGTGGTTAAAATGTAGAGGGAACATTGCTCATTCGGGTCTCGGTGGAGTGTAGCGCTACGAGGACCGCAGGGGCCATTCACAAAGCTTCCCCAAGACGCCAACGCCCCCGCCCACCCGCAACCCCCACCACAGCATGGAGCGGGAAAAATCCGTAGGCATCTTCACACGAGGCCTCGCAAACCACTGACTGCGTTGGGAGCCGAGGAGAGGCCAACATCACACAACAAACTTCGAACTCACTGCATGCAGTTCCCCAGTGCAGAGACACATATGCTGTGGCCCCACAGTGTACACCTCGGATACAATGCAGGCTAAACCAGTTGCCGCAGCAGCACTACCAAGGATGACGCGCACGATATCCGCCGAATGCGACCCTAAGTGTTGCGCTAAAGGCGTTGGAGAACAGCTTAACAAGACGCTGCAATCAACCACGCCTTCACGCAAAACTCAACCAGCCTCGTCGTCCGTGAGCAGGCCGGCAAACTTCCTAAAATAGCTTCTACCAAGGAGCTTATACTGTGCTATTACTTTCCTGCCTAGCAGCTAGTGGCACTTCGGTAGTTACTGTTTCATGATACTATAATGCTGCGGGAAACTAGCGCTGGCCTCCGCAGCTCTGCTGTATCGGACACAATGGTACACAAGCGAACGGGATATCAGGCGAAATCCCTATCTAACCAACCGCGACCCCACTGGCTCCTGTAAGTGGACTGTGCGACGCCACTGTCACGAGCAAAGGCGCATCCACATAGTTGACCGCGCCGTTAGTTAGACGAGGTCATTGCCGGCCAGCAAGTCCCTAGGTTACTTCAAGTTCTGCGGTCCCGGCGCCAGCGAGCACGTGAATACGGCAGCTGCGACCCTTTCAAACCGCTGCGCTTGGTCCAGCGCTAGGCATGCAACGATGCGGCTATTACACTTTCTCCCTGAGCCGCCACGTCACTGCCGCCGAAGCAAGCACGCAACTGATCATGAAGACGCGCACGGCCGTGCATTAATCGCCCAGCTATCTATGTGTATGTTTCCGGGTCGATATGGCTGGGTATTGGCTTGATTTCGGTCCCGAGCTCGTGTTCAATCCTGAAAAGTGGCGCAAATGTGACTCGAAGCTAGCCTCTGCATAAATCACGCGCAAGGGATGGGTGGTACAGCATCATACTTGAATGGGTTACCCCCGAACGCACCTGTAGAGGTTAAACCGATCTTCGTAAGTTACCAGGTTCACCGCCAGACCTAGGTGGCCAAAACGGCCTGAACGCCCAATTCTATGTAAGTACGTCTCCGAATTTTGAGGGAAATCAAAATTAATAACGACATTTACGGACTGGATATCAATCCCTCGAGTGAACAAATCCGATGAGACCAGGCAACGACAGGCACCGTTTCGAAAGTCGTGAAACACCCTGTTTCGGTGCGACTGCAGCATCCGAGCATGAATATAGAAGCACGAAAAGCCCAGCTCGGTAATCTTCTTCGCCAGAAGCTCAACGCGTGTCACACTATTACAGAAGATGATCGCTTGGTTAATTTGAAGCTGAGTTAAACACAGTGCACATGGGTAGGGGGAAACACTACTGCCACGCTCATGTCCTCTCCGCTAGAAAGGTGTGGACGTAACTGGGCCTCTGTGTACCCAGACGCACAAAGGCAGCAGACGCAGAGCTCCTAACGCATGATCATCTTGTTTTTAGACCCACCTTCGCAAACAGTGTGTTCAAACAATGTACTTTCTGCCTCTCCTCAACGAAAGCGTAGTACTGCGTAACACCCTTTAGAGTGAGCTCTTCCATAAGGTTAATTTCGTGAGCATCTGGAAGATATTTCGACTTGAAATCTTTCACTGTTACTGGAAACGTGGCCGAGAACATGAGAATCTGCCGCTGCATAGGAATGAACTCGATCAATTTCTCTACAATTGGCTGGAACTCAGGGGAAAGCAATTTGTCGGCTTCATCCATTACCACTATGTGGCACTGCCGCAAATCCGCCACATCCTTGTTCGCAAGATCTAGGATCCTCCCAGGAGTCCCTACGAGAATGTGGACCGTGTTGTGCAAACGCATAATGTCATCTCTGAGACTCGTACCCCCTGTCGAAACCATGCATTGAACGTTAAGATATTTCCCCAACTCCTTAACAACTGCACTCGTTTGCAGCGCCAGTTCTCGGGTAGGAACAAGGATCAAGCCTGGCAGAAGACAGCCGACATAGCGGTCCCACAAGAGTCCTCATTACTCCACTTACGATGCCCATCACTGAGGGAGCGTATGTGCTGCTGCAAATATAAGACGGAGCAATTACCCTGGGACACTAAAAGAAACCCGCTTACCCTGGATTGCTCGTCGTGTGATTTGGCACTTCTCTAAGACAGGGATTGCGAAAGCCGCCGTCTTCCCCGTCCCATTTTTGGCACGAGCCAAGATGTTGCGACCAGAAAGTGCCACTGGAATCGCTGCCTCCTGAATAGGGGAGGGTTTCTCGAATCCCTTCTCAAATATTCCCTTGAGCAGTTCACGTTTCAAGTAGTAGTCTTCAAACTCGTTTCCCCTTGTCTGAGTTACATCCTAAATAAGACACATCAGCATGGCGCATGAAGGCGGAAATGCTCACGCGTCTTGCTATGCTCACTTTAAGCATGGGACATGGAAAACCTCACTAACTCATTGCACTCTGAAATGCGATACACGCGTAAGCACATGTAAAAGTACCCATAGGGTTCAACTTGCATGGAGCGGAATACGCGACTTCTACTAACTCACCGCTGTCCGGAACATGTTCTGCCTCACTGGCCTTGGCCCGCCATCCTTCTGGAGATACACATCCTGCACCCCGTTCAGGTGGGCTTGCAAAAGGATACCCCTTGAAAGGGGAGCCTGAGGCTGAACCTGCTCCGTGGCGTTGTTCTTCATTTTTGACGCCGGACCAACTTTCTCTACAAGGACCATGCCGCTTCGTCCATCCGCACACAGAGTCCGCCTGCCTGCCTTCGTCGAGCTGCTCGAACTCTCTTCACAAGAAGGCCATAGAGCATCGTTCGCACTCACGATAAGCTCACGGCAGTGTGCCGTGCAACATAAAAGTACTGAAAAAAAAACAATTAAGCGGTTGTAAGAAAAGAAGGCCCGAGTCCAGATGAGGCAACACAAAGTTAAGTGCAGGTCTTGACTGAAGATACCCTCGGCTTCGTTTCCACAAAAGGAGTCTGTTTATAACCTGGGGCACAAGTAATCAAAGCATCAGCCCTCCTCTATTAACCACAGCGACCGCTGTTTGCCTTCACAACGAGAAGAGACGGTGTTCCTAGACACCCACGCAGCTCCATATAGGGAAAACAAATCATATCCATGAAGCAGAGAGACCTCCATCCATTCCGTAACTGCTCGTAGAGCGCGCAGCTGAAACTACATGTCTGCTTTCAGCGCTCGCACTTGAACTTGCCCTGTCCTCTAGTGTACGTGGTGGGTAGGGTTGCGCAGAGCCACATCATGAAATACAGCACACCTATTCTCAGCGAACAACATGAGTACGCACGTTGTTTCCTTTCAGCAATTGTATGCATTAACTTGTCATGCATGGAGCGCCTCCCCACGTCTGCGCAGACAGTTATCAGTCATGTCACACACAGCCGCATCCCAGCATCTCTCCACCAAGACAACATGAACACTGTGAATATGTATACTGGAGCAATACGCCAGGAGCAGCTCCCAACGTTCAGGGCAGAGAGAGGTAAAACCTCATGCACGTGATTCCTTCCCGCCCCACCTCATAAACTGGAAAGCGTACCTACGCTGCAACATGATGCAAGAGTACAACTAAATCCTGCATACTTTATTACCTGTATATCGAAGAAGCGGAGTATAGAGCTGGGAAGTGCAGAGATATCCTCGAAGTGGCTTGCAAGTGTGCCAACAGCTGCGTCGTGTATGTGCCCTTTAGTTCTGGTGGGCGTCGCAGAAGCCCGTTCCTCTCTTCTCTTTTGATTCATGAAAGAGGTCTAGGAAGGAAATTCAAAAAAGAAGCGCTGCGCCCATCGACACAGCCCTTCCTTGCCCGTAGTCCAAGGGACGGACACCGACCCAGCAACATCTCATGGAAGCTGCTCAGCAATTGGGTGGTTCCATCTAGAGGGTCCACTGTGTTTTGCTCCGCTTGTTGTCTCAATCAATCAAGCAAGTTTCTTTTATGCCCTTTCCTTTACAAATATCAACGCCCAATGCGATCGTGTTTTTCACTGGGGCAGTTCTCTCCTCTGGTGTTTCTAGGCTGTACTGGGACATCCGGTAGCGTGCTCTTGGTCTCAGAGGACGTCCCGCTCCGACAAAACGATCCAACAGTCTGTGGAGTGGTCTAATTTTTAGTTCTCCTTGGAAGAGATTGTCTATCGCATCTTTGTGGCTTTGCAGACGACCGTGTTTGGAGGGCTTGTTGCATGCCGCGCACCTTCGGGCAGGCTTTCGGTAACTTCGTTCAAAATAGTGCCCAAATAATGACACTACGGTGCCCTTAGCAACAAAATAAGTACTCAGTGCTCTTTGAGCTACGTGGACGCCTTGTTGCTCCAGGATAATAGGATATGGCCTTTACGGAGAGACGCTTGTCTGAGTACTCCAGAAATGGCCTAACGATGGACCTGACGAACAATACTCTTTCAGCGCGATTAAACAAAACCAAGAGAGCATTATAGTTTGTATACATTGTTTTCGTTCATGTCTACAATGTCGTAGGGCCCCGTCAACTCTGGCAATGAGGGGGGAGGCAACGATGCAACATTGAAACGTCGAAGTTAGCATATTAGAATAGGTCAATCCAGGAGTCACTGCAGCTGCAGCAATGCATTAGGTGGATTGGTGGACGTTGCATTGCCTAATGCTCGCAAATGGGACGGGGGTAATACTCCATTGTTCGTTGGAGGCGAGCCTTGGAGATGTTCATGACCAGCGACGCACTTTCAGGTGTTCGCGGCTCTGTTGCATCTGGAAGTGCAGATGAGCATCGCGACAAATATGCAGCAAAGTCACACAGAGCTGGTGAGTACACCTGACTGGCATCGACGCTCAGGTGTGTGGCAGATCTCCTTGGGCCTTTTTAAGGCACTGCATCCACGATCCAGTTTTTCTTTGGCGTCTCCTCGCTGGGTACCCTTCACTTTAACCAGTTCCACTTTATCTTTCTTGTAGCCGTCCTACC